AGCCAACCCTGTGAGGACTCAGAGATTGAGGATAGCAGGCCACAGTATCAAGAGCACTGGGCTAGCATTAGAGGACTGGGCTATAGTTCTGGCTCCATCCAGGGACTTCCATTTCTTCCAATGGGGAACGTACTTATGCTATGCTGCCCATTCCCTCATAGGGGGCCTCCTTCTTTCAGAGAGCTAATGGATGAGAGGGGTTGAGATGCTGCATCTTCCAGAGACCAGTCCCCACCTAGACTGCTTAGGCCACCAGCCTACTCAGAGACTGGCCTAGACCCACCACCAGTAAGCTCTTGTGGAGGTCCTACAGCCTGCATAAAATGGTTTTAAACAACAGTGAGCCTGGTGGGGTCCTCAAGCTCCGGCCCTGTGAGGAAGACAGAGTCCTGGGCCCTGCTATTACACATTAATACACCCTCTGTGCGTGTGATTATTTGATTAGTGCCTCTCTTCACCCCTTAGACTGTAAACTCTGTGAGCATGGGGCCAAGTCCACATGGTTCATTGTTGTATTCCCAAAGTGCTTGGCACTTGGTCAGGGTTTAATAAATATTTATCAAACGAATAAATCCTTCGTTGCCCAGCTCCTGTGTTGGCCCTTCCTAAGGCAGTTGGTTACTTCCTCTTATGGGCTCCCATAACATTTTGTGTTTGTGTTACCACCTAGAGCTGTGTGTGTGTGTCCTTTACTTCAGACTATGAGCTCCTTGAGGATAAAAAGACATTTTATTCATCACTGGAGCCCTAGCACATTTTAAGGACTTAATTCTACTTGTTGAGTGAAGGAACTGATTATAATATTTTCTTTCCTGCCAAGGGCCAGACATGACCTTTTCTAAAAACCTGGGGCTGAAATTCAGGGGTCGCAGGTACTAATCTTCCCTCTGCCACCAGCTCGGACAGTTTTCTCATTTGGCCGATGGGACTCATAGAGCCATTCTACCTACATCACAGCCACATTGTAACAGTAAATGGCACATTGCTATGGAAACACACTAGGAGAGTAGAGAACCAGCTACAGTGACAAGGATTGATGGCTCTTTGGGGACAAGGACATGGCCTTCGGTTTCTCTGTGTGGCCCTAGATTCCCTTGGGCCAGGGGCACAACAGGCACTCAGGGAATGTTTTTGGAGTATGTAGGCATTTGTTTTGCCACAGTTTGCTTTGTGGCTTTGGACAAGTTGCTCACTTCCTTTGGCTGGGCCTCAGTTTCTCTGTGTGAGAAATGAGGAAGGGATGTAGACTACTTGCTTCCTAATTAATCTGTTGTGTATATCAGGGGTGTATGTGGGGTGGGCGTGTCACTGAGTCCTCTTAGGCTCTGATGGAAGCGCTGGACCTCATCCCTAAGATATGTATAGATCCTCACTGTCCTGGGTTTCCCAGGCTCATTAAACCTCCAGAACATGGGAGTATTTCTAAATGCTCTTTCAGCCCTGAGAGCCTAAATTCTGCTCTGTGGCATCACTTCAAGCCACTCTGGGCCCTCAGAAGGAAACATTTTTCCTCAGATTACTTGAGGGCTCCTTTCTTCTCGCTTGAGATCAGCTCAGGAAGGTTGGGGGTGGGGCTGAGTCTATTAATATCCCTTCCTCAGCTGATTAACTCTCCATTAATTTGCACTCCGTTTCCAAGCGGAGCAGAGAGAGTCGAGCTAATGGGCCCCGGGAAGAGGAGGGGGCGGCTCTGCTCCCCTGTGACGTATTACTGCAGGGTGCTAGGGCCAGCTGTGGGCAGGAGGGGGGACTTCTTCCCATCCAGGGTTAGGGCCTCAAACCCTACCTGGCTCTTCTGAAGCTGGAGCTGCCCAGGGAAGAGTGGGAGGGGGCCTCCTGTTAGTTATTTTTGTTTCCACTCAGCCTGATGGGCCCTTGGTAAGGACTCAGAAAGTTTTGCTCTGTGAGTCATGGGTTCTAGTCCTTGATCCCACCACTGGCTTGCTGGGTGACCTTGATAAGTCTCTTCCCTCCTGGCGCCTTGTTTTACCAGTCTTTGAAAGGAGAGAATTGAACTAAAAGAATCACAATTAGGTTGTCGCCTGAGTGCCAGCTGTAATCAATTGATAGTTGTTGTGTGGAATAGTGTGTTGAGATGGTGGCGCTGAAGGAGCAGGTGTCACAGTTGATTAGTGATACCTGCCATGGGCAAAGGAGCAGGAAGCAGTAGCATGAGTGCCCTGTGTTTGACAACCCTGGCTACTACTTGATCCCTGAGGGCCCTTCCAGCTCTGATATTTGTGATAACTCATATCTCTGGGCTACTCTCCCTGTAAAAGAAGGAATTTTCATTTATCCAAATCTGGTCAGCACTCTAGAATGTGTTGAGACACTCCTCTCAGTCTCTCCCCACTGCCCACAGGCCATTGTTTCGTTCATTCTTTCTTACATTCAATAAATCTGTTTGGGTGCCTCCCATGCCCCAGGCCCCGAATTAGGCACGGGAGTATTTTACAAAGCAGTTTCATCACTATTTCAAGGAGTGGACTTTATCCTAACCTGGGAAGGAAGCTAAGCAAGGATCATGGGAGAGAAATGACTTGCCCACGGTCACCCAGTTGGTAGCAGAGTCCCACGAGGTCAGCCCCAAGAGTGGTCATTAAGCCCCTAGTTCCAGGATCTTAACTCCCATCAGGCTGGACAACTTGTTTTGGGAACACAGGGTAGGGTTGGGGGTCAGGCCTGAGGGTTGAGGGAGGACTATGTGTGGCCTGGGCAGCCAAGGGAGCCCCATAGAGCCAGAGTCAATGAGTCTGTATTGGGTCTGGCCCACCCCAAAACTTCTTTTGACCTTTCTTTTATTCTTAGCACTGTTCCAAAAATTACAAAAACGTTTGTTCTTCTCTCCTCGAGTTCCCCCTTCAAATTATTCAGCTGCCGTTCTGGCTGCAAGGCCTGGAACAGATTTAGTGCAGCCGAAAGGCAGTCACGAGATGCATATTTCAGATGAACTTCCTGAAGAAAGGATAAACAGCCTGACCTGGGATGGGAACAAGTACTGGGGAGGCATCACGTGACAGAAAGTGCCTTCCACCAGAACCAGCCCATGAGCTGGAGTTTGCTAAATGAGAGACTCGAGGCATCACCTGGAAGAGTGTGATCTCTCAGTTCCAAGGCCACTGAGTTTTGAGGGACAGTGGGTTGGTGTCTGTGGTGGCCTGGGGGTATATATATGGGTGGTGTGGAAGAGAAGGAAGAACTTTGGTTCATCTGTGTGTGGTATGCTCGGTGTAAGTCCTGGCCCTGCCCTTCATTTGCTGGACAGGTTGCTGATCTCAGTTTCAAGTTGTGCCTCAGTTTCCTCAACTCCAAAATGGAGATTAGAAGTAGCACTTCCTTCAGGGGACTGCAGTGTGATTCCTCTGAAGCTATGTTTACAGAGTTTCTTTCCATTCCTCTCCTCCTCCAAACTCAACTACACTGGGTTTTCCCTCTGCTTGGGCTCCTCTTTCCTCAGCCCTTTGCCTGGCTGGTACCTTCTCTTCTTTCAGGCTTAAGTCTAAGTATCAGCTGCTCAGGAAGCCTCCTTGATTACTGTTAAAAAAAAAAAAAAAACAACTTACTGCCGTGGAATCGGATATGATTCATAGCAACCCCTCCTTGAGTTTCCAAGGAGGTATCACTACGGAAGTAGATTGCTCAACCTTCCTTCCGAGGAGTGGCTGGTGGGTTTGAACTGCCAGCCTTCTGGTTAGCAGTTCAATGCCTTAGTCACTATGCCAAAACCAGTTGCTGTCAAATTGATTCTAACTCATGGCAACCCCACGTGAGTCAGGATAAACCTGCTTCATAGGGTTTTCAATGGCTGATTTTTTGGAAGTTGTTGTCAGGTCTTTTCTTCTGAGATGCCTCTGGGTGGACTCAAACCTCCAACCTTTTGGTTAGCAGCCAAACGTGGAAACCATTCACAATACCCAGGGGCTACCAAAGAGTGGTAGTAATGAGTGCTTATTGTGCCAGGTACTATTTCCCAAGCATTCTACGTATATTAGCTCATTTCTGAGTCAGAATTGGCTTGATGGTTATAACAAATATAACCTTATGAGGTATGTTGTTGTTGTTGTTATGTGCTGTCGAGTTGGCCCCGACTCATAGCGACCCCTCCTTGGGTTTCCGAGGCAGTATCACTACGGAAGTAGGATTGCCCAACCTTCCTTCCGAGGAGTGGCTGGTGGGTTTGAACCTTCTGGTTAGCAGTCAAGTGCTTTAGCCACTATGCTACCAGAGCTCCCATGAGGTATTATGAGGTATAGGTACTGTTATTAACCCATTTGACAGATGAGAAAAGTAAATAACTTATCCAAGGACTCAGAGTTGGTAAATGTCTGAGCTGGGATTCAATTCCAGGCTTCAGAGGCCAAACTGCTACCCACCATGTGAGCTACCTCTCTGTGAGGGAATGGGGCAAGTAAGGCCTTGGCACTCCAGGGAATGTTAGTTGTTCTATTACTGCTATGTTTAGCACTATCATGGTTGAACCCTGAAGCTTCTAACCTCTGCACTGCCTGGGTATGGAGTCAAAGGGCCTGGAACCTGCAGTGGAATGCTATTACTGGTGGAGTAGACCAGCCAGAGGTGGGGGTGGGGGGGAGCAAAAGGTTGTGCCCAGGGGGCTGACTGTCGGAGGGTGTGGTGTGGAGCCACTGCCCGTGGTGGAGGGTCAGGTGTCACTTAGGAGCACATCCCTGTGTCCCAGGCCATAGCCTGATGAGTAGCAGAGCCAATACTGGGTTTGCAGGGCAAAGCCCTCTCCATTATCACCTGCTGCGTGGTCATAAAATTCTGTGATTCTTAGAGTTCATGACACATTTATTGGGCGTCTGCAATCCCAGAATACTGAGCAGATCCAGGATGGTGGGGGAGGAGAGGTTGGCAGGGAGACAATGGTGGTACACCTGCATGTGCATAACCGGTTTGCACCCTGAGATGGCTGAGTCCTTGGTGCCAACTAACCATCTCTCCCTTTCTATCTTCCTGCCCACCCATGATCCTCACTTCAGATCATTGACAGTGAGAATGAGGCCCTCCTGGCAGCTCTCACCAAGACCCTGGACGACATCCCTGAAGATGACGTGGGCCTGGCTGCCTTCCCAGCATTGGATGGTGGCGACTCACCCTCCTGCCCCTCAGCCTCACCTGCTCCCTCATCTGCGCCCCCCAGCCCCTCCCTGGAGACATCCCCAGCCCCAGCCCCAGAGGTGGATGAGCTCTCACTGGTAAGAACCTATTGCCAGCTACTGAAGTGTAGTGGGGGCCTGGAATTTTTTGTCTGGTTGTAGAGGAGGTGGGTGCAGAGAAATCAGCCCCAGCCCCATAGGGGTCTCTGTGTCACTGACAACCTGGTTTGGGGCACAGAGCCTGGGGCTGGGAGTGGGAAGCCTTCCTGGGTTTCTCTTTTCCCACCTGTAAAGCTGGGTGAACTACAGAGGGCTTTCACCTGCGTTCTGTAGGCCCTTGGGATTTCACAGGTCAACCTTTGTTCTGTGTTAAACCCTTGAAACATTTTTCCTAAAGATTATACACCCACATGGCAAAAAAACAAGAAAAAAATGTAGACAATGATAAGCAAAGCCTCCTTGCCCCACTTCCAATTGGTTTTTCCTCCCTAGAGGTAGCCATGATTACTGATCTGTTATATGGCTTTTCTATTATGCTTTTTTTTTAAAAAAAGAAAAGAAAAGAAAACTACAAATGGGAGCCCATATTATACACTGTTTTGTACCTGGCTTTTCTCAGTTTTCCATGTGTCTTAGAAAGTCTTCCAGATGAGCCTATATAGCTCCATTTTATCCTTTTTGTTGGCTGCATGGTGTTCCTTTGTAAGGATGTACCGTAATTCATTCAGCCAGTCCCTGCTGGTGGATAGTAATGTTGTTTCAACTCCTCCACTGTCACAGCAGTGTTGCAATCACACATAAGTGGACAACATCCTAGAAATTGGATTCTTGGGTCTACAAGATACATGAATTTTCAATTTGGGCAGATGCTTCCTAAGAAGCATCTGTTTACACTCCAACCAGCAAAAGTTCAGTGCTGTCTGTGGGATGTGGAAACATGCATGTGGAATTGCAGTTTTCTGGGGAGAAGTCTCTGCTTTTATTGGATTCTGAAAGGGATCTGTACTCCAAAAGTTGCTGAGAGCATTTGCCCTCTACCCAAAGGTAAGCTTTCATGGGGTATGAGGTCCAGGCTTTACTAAGTCTCCCATAGGAGCTCTGGTAACGTAGTGCCTAAGGCACTTGACTGCTAACCAGAAGGCTGGAGGTTCAAATCCACCAGCCACTCCTTGAAAGGAAGGTTGGGCAATCTACTTCTGTAGTGATACCACCTCAGAAACCTAAGAAAGGATTGCTATGAGTCAGGTCTGACTTGACAGCAAATAACAAGACAACATGCCAACAGAAAAACCAAGGTCTAGAGAGAGGGAAAGGACTTGCCAAAGGTGGGTTGAGACCAAGCTGGGCCCAGAACCAGGTCTCCTTCCTCCACTCCCAGGACCTTTCCTCTCCAAAGCCAAAGAATTGCAGACCCTTAAGAGTCTAGGAGGAGCCTGTCTCCTAGGGAGAGTGCGGAGTGGCCTCTTCTCTAGTTCCTGAACTTTTGGTGCTCCTTGCTGGGGTGATTTGAGCAGAGGCAGCCCAGCCAGCACAGGGGCAAGCTCACTAGGGGCCGTGCCCCAGCATGTCATGTGTGTATTTTGACAAATCCCTCTTCTCTCTGGGCCTTGGTTTCCCTACCTTAGTACAAAAATATTCAGTTCAATAAATAAATTTCAAAAAAAATCAACAGGCCACTTTATTTTTCTTTTTCTATTAGAGTCTCAGTAGTCTCTAGTAATAATTTCTATTCAAAATTAGAAAAGTCAAACAAGCTTAACTGTAGTATGCTTTCATTTGTATAAAAATAAATGGGTGGGTTGGAGGTGATATATACATATATATCCTTGTATAATGAAAGCCCATCTCATGGTAGGTTCACAAGAAAGTGGGTAAGACTGATTGCCTCTGGGAGGGAGAAAGAGAATCTGGGTCAGGAGGGAGACTTGCTTTTTTAATTGTCCACTCTTTTGTATGTATTTGTAGTTGTTTGTTTTTTTTCTCTCACCGTTTATACTCATTTGTCTAACAATCATTACTTTTCAAATTAAGGCTATTGATTTTTAAAGTCATATGAACAAGCAAAAGGGAAATCAGCTAGAATCGCACATCAAGGAATCATTTTGGTACCTAAACTTCCAGACTTTATATGTTTGTCCGTATACAGTGAAGCCTGTGATAGCCAGCTTTCAATGAGGCTGTCTTGTCTTTCCAGGTCTTGCAAGTGTACTCTTATCTTTTTTTTGTTTTCAATCATTCTCTATTAATGGAAAATATTTGAGTTTTCTGTCTTTGACAGGTTTCTGCCCTTATACAGATTCCAGCATTTGCAGGTTTTACTGTACCACAAACACACACAGAGCATTCCAATAGAGTATGTGTATATAATCTTTTAACAAGTGGAATAGACAGACATTACCCAAGACCTGTCTGGGTTTCTCCAAGTCACAGACAGGTCTTTTCTGGCTATTAACTCCAAGCAGGATTTACATTTTATTGGGATATTCAGGGATTGGGATTGTTAGACAATCTGCTTCCTGCCCTTATCATGTTGGAACACTATCCTAATCATTCAGTGGCCTCCCTTCCTGCGTTATGTGGTGACCAGGATCAGGGTGTGGTAGTCCTGAGGGACCAGCTCCATGCCCAGGCCTCTCTCGTGTACTCTGGCTGTGGCTCAACCAGAGCTCCTCTCCTCTGCTTCTCCTTCAGCTGCAGAAGCTGCTCCTTGCCACATCCTCCCCTACGCCAAGCTCTGACATCCAGAAGGAAGGGACTGCCTGGAGGCAGGCAGGCCCCAGGTCCAAAAGTCAGCGGCCTTGTATCAAGGTATTTCTTCCCCTGCTCAAAAGTGTATCTGGGGCCCCAGGTAGCTTCTGAGGGCTTCAGCCTTCAGTTCTTGTTGGGGGATATCAGGTTCTTCAGTCAGCTTCTAGAGTCTCTCCCTATTCCTCACTGACCCCTTGCAACTGGTTGTATGGGCATTCCTTCTTCAGACCCAGCCCAGTCTGAGATTCTAGAAAGATCCTTGGACTTTCTCATATACTTTTAACAATTCTGGCTGAGAGCCTTATGTGTGTCAGGCACTGTGTTTGAGAAAGGTCAAGGAAGATATGGTCTGCTTTCATGACTTATACTCTAATGGGGTTTCAGACTGAAATATAAAAACAAATTTAAAAAGATAATTAACTGACTAGGGTGAGGGGCTAGAGAGTGAGCGGGGCTGGGGAGGGAGATGGAATGATCAGGGAAGCCCCCGGGAGGAGGTGATCTGCAAGCTGAGCGTGAGGGATGAGGAGGAGCCAGATGTGCTCTGGTTTAGCGTGCTGGGGAAGCATTCCTGGTGGAGGGTGGGTGCCTGGCTGGTTAGAGAAACAGAAAAGAGGCTGGTGCTGGACCTAGAGCTGACCGGGAGGAGCACAGACCCAAGAGAGCAGGGCCCAGATCGTGGTGGCAGGGCCCACAGTAAGGAGTTTGGATTTCTGGGAAGCCATTGGAGGGTTTAAAGCTTTGTTGTGAATATCCAGGGTCACAGCAAGTCCCTTTTACTGCCTGGGTCTCAACATTCCAAGGAAAACTTTAATAAGGAAATCTCCAAGGGTTCCTGATACTCAGTTTACACTGAACCCGCCCCATCTGTCCCTCCAGGAGATGGCAGCATACAATTCCACACCTTCAGGGGCAAAGTCAAAATGGATCCCTCTTAGCCATGGCTCATTGTAGAAGCCCCTGGCTTGCTGGGCTCCCCTAAGAAGCTCTGCCCTACTGGTCCTGGCTGACACTGTGAAACACAGGCCCCCTTCCACCCTGTAGACTATGCAGCAGCCAAGCCCCTTGGTGAGGCCAACTCTTTGCCCTCTGGGAAACCAGATAAGTTCCTCAGAGAAGTGAGGCCTCTAGCCCCTGCAGAGACAACTTGCACTGGAAGGAAAGCTTCCGGGTGAGTAGTTGGGAAGAATAAAGCTGGAGAGAGGGCTGACTGGCACCAGATTGCAGACAGTCCAGAAAACCAGGCCAAAGGACTTCCGTTTGCCCTGTGGGCTCAGGGGAGCTACATAATGGTTTGGTCGATTGGTTGCTTTTTTGTTTTTAAACAGCTTTATTGAGATTCCATTTACATATCTTAAAATTCATCTGTTTTTCCTAATGGGTGATAGCTAATGGATACGTGTGATTTTGGTTTTTTGTTTTTAAGGTGAGAAAATGTTCTAAAACTGATAGTGGGGATAGCTGCATAGTATGTAAATTTACTAAAAGCCATTGAATTGTACACTTTAAATGGATGAACTGTATGGTATGTGAATTATATCCCAAAAAGCTCTTACCCCCCAAAAGTCCACCTGTTTTAAAAATACAAATCAGTGAATTTTAGCAAATTTACAGTCATGTAACTACAACAATAGACCTGTTTTATAACATTTCCTTTATCCTAGAGAAGTCCCTGTGCCCCCATTTCCAATTAATCCCTGTTTCCATGCCCAGCCCTGGGCAACCACTAATCTACTTTCTGGCACTATCAGGGAAGGGTAAAGTGCAGGAAGGGGGTGGGATCATAGGAGCAGGGCCTTGGAGTGGATCTGGAAGGGTCTGCAGGGGACAGATCTATGGCCAACAGATCTGTTAGAAGGCTGGTCATCCCTTCATTCCTTATTGACCAAGCACTTACCTGGTGCCAGGCTCTGTGATGGAGCCTAGGAATACAGTGAAGGAAACCTGACTATCCCGGTGGTTCAGGTAAGAGATTCTGGGCCCTTGCCAGTGGCTGCAGAGATGGGGCAGAGGGTACAAGCAGTATGGGCCCCTCTCCTCACTGTGGCCTCTTTCCCTGTCTAGATGGACAGCAGTCAAGACAAGAAGACCCCGCTGATGCAGTCTCAGAGCCGGAGCTGTACAGAACTGCATAAGCACCTCACCTCTGTGCTGTCTTGCCCCCAAGCTAAAGCCCGCTCTCCAGAGAGGGGCTTGCAGCCGCCACCACCCCTGAGTCTCCGGCTCCCTGACAGGGAGGATGAGGAGCTGGGTGAGGACTGCCCAAGCCCCCAGCCAGCCCCAGCCTCTCCCCGGGACTCCCTAGCACTGGGCAGGGTAGGCTCCAGTGCCCAGGTTTCCCAGGAGGACATGCAGGCGATGGTGCAGCTGATCCGCTACATGCATACCTACTGCCTTCCCCAGAGGAAGCTGCCCCCCCAGCCCCCAGAGCCCACCCCACAGCCCTGTAGCAGCCCCTCCAAGCAACTCAGAGCCCGACCCCGGTCCCAGCACCCCTCCAAAGCATCCTGGGCTGAGTTCTCTATCCTGAGGGAACTTCTGGCTCAAGATGTCCTCTGTGATGTCAGCAAACCCTACCGCCTGGCCACACCTGTCTACGCCTCCCTCACACCCCGTCCAAGGTCCAGGGCCCCCAAGGACAACCAGGCCTCCCCTGGCCACCTATCCCCAGTGGAGGAGGTGAGGATCACAGCTTCACCCAAGAGCACGGGGCCCAGACCTAGCCTGCGTCCACTGAGGCTAGAGGTGAAAGGGAATGTCCGCCGGTCTACCAGGCTGCAGCAGGAAGAGGAGGAAGAAGAGGAGGAGGAAGAAGAGGAAGAGGAGGAAGAAGAAAAGGAGGAAGAGGAAGAGGAGGAATGGGGCAGGAAAAGACCAGGCCGCAGCCTGCCATGGACCAAACTGGGCAGAAAGCTGGAGAGCTCTGTGTGCCCTGTCCGGCGTTCGCGGAGGCTGAACCCTGAGCTAGGCCCCTGGCTGACATTCACTGATGATTCCCCAATCCCTGCAGAGCCCCAAGGTGTTCTGCCCTCACTGTGCCTGGCTCCTGAGGCCTACAACATGGAGGGGGAGCTGGGCAGCCCCACAGACAAGGACAGTGGCCAAGACCAGGAGCTTCTACGGGGACCTCAGATCCCGGCTCTGGAGAGCCCCTGCGAGAGTGGGTGTGGGGATACAGACGAGGACCCCAGCTGCCCACAGCTCCCTTCCAGAGGTAGTCAGAGTTGGTGGTCTGCAAGAGATGGGGCAGGGATGTGGTGTGGCATACCCCACTGGACAAGAGCCAGGAGTCCTGTGTGCAAGCACCTCCCATGTGGTGTGGTGTATTGAGCAAGTCCCTTCCCTTCTCTGGCCCTCAACTTCCCTTCTATATGCTGGGATAGTTAGAGCAGATCTTCAGGATATGCCCATCCATCTCTGAGTTTTTTCATCACACACGGGCCAGGTGCCATTTAATCAACAAGGAGCAAGATGCCTGCCTTCCTGGGGCTTATGTTTTAGTGGGGGAGACATAGGCAAGAACAAAGTAAACAAAAGAGGAAGATAATTACAAATTGTGATAAGTGCCATCAAGAAAGGTTACTGGGTGATACGACAGAAAGTGTGAGTCTATAAATTCAACTCCACATTGAAGTACTTTTTGTCATTTTCCAATAGTGATAACAATAATGATGATGAGGGTGGTGATGATGGTTATTTTTTGTGCACTTACTGTGCCAAGCACTGGTCTAAAATTTAACAGGTCACCTCCATTGACTTCTCACAATAAGCCTATGTGATAACTCCTATTATTCTCCCTGTTGTAAGATAAAGAAACTCAAGCACAGAGATATTTTGTGATCAGCCCAGGTAGTTAATCCTGCATCTGTCTAGTTAGTGGCAGAGCCAGGATTCAAACCCACAGCTGCTGGACTTGAGAGCTAGAGCTTTTCACACTGTGGTACATTGTTTGGCTAGCAGGGGTCACCCACATACCTGACCTGATCTTTTTGCAAAATTAAGTAGCTCAGACCAGCCCTTACTGTTGCTGAGACCCTGGGCTAGAAGGATTTGAGTTTTTCTTGCCATTCCCTAAAAATTCCAGGATCATTTGCATTTAGGTCACATGCCTGAAATATGCTTGGTTCCAAGGGAAGTTCGAGGGTCCTCTCCAGAGGGGAAACATCTGCTAGTGATGCTGTGTTGGCAAATCTTGTTTTCTTTTTTGTCTTCTTTTCAGACTCTCCCAGGTGCCTCATGCTGGCCTTGTCACAAAGGTAGATTTTTAGAAATCATTGGTACATTATTCCATGAGACTCTTGTCGACTGTATTTGGGGGTGGGGGGCAGTTCATCAGCCCCTGAACCTGGCTCAGTCTCCACACCTCTGTCCTCAGAAGCTGGGCTCCTCTAGAGAGGAGTTTGATTTTAAAAAGCTGGTCTCTGAAGGCCCAGGAGGAGAGATGGGGAATTAAGCCCTCAGGCCATTTCATAAGCTGTCTTCTTGGAGACATTAGAACAACTTCCTCTCTCCATGGGGAAGACCTGACAATACTATGTGACTTTGGGCAAGCTCCTTTCCCCCCCTGGCCCTCAGTTGCTCCATCTATAAAGTAAGAAGGCTGATGACACTTCTCCCCTCTCCACCCTCAGCAGACCTCTGCTGTGTCTCCTAGAAGATCTGTATAGCTCTGAACAGGACAGCAACACCCCCACACATACCCCCAAATTCTCCCCAGGCTCCACTTCTGTGGGTGGTAGAAACAGGGTCCATAACAGTCTCCTGTCACCCACCTTGAAATGTTCAGGGAGGTGGGAGCCTGCTGCTGACTGGCCTCTTCCCTTTCTGTCCTACCTGGCCCCACCAGTGACCCTCCTTTTGGCAAGAAGAACTTTGAACAAACCTTAACAGTGGAGCTTTGTGGCACAGCAGGTAAGTCAACGGCCCAGATGATGGGCCCAGCCCTTGGGGGAGCTGGCAAGACCCATGGCAAGAAAATTCCCCACACTGAACAGCACCTTGGGCATTAAGGGTACCCTGTCACCACTCCACAGGGCATGCTGGGTGTTGAGGTACACAGTAAGGACATTATGAATAGGGTCAGCCAGTCAGCCTCCAAGAATCAATGCATCAGGTGATATCCAGGTCAGAAAAGAAAGGGACAGAATTATGCCCCTGGAGGAGTCGGGACTGTATACACAGACACACCACCATGATGAACACCATTCAGAAGTATGTACGGCGAAACCTGTGAAAGCCAGAACTTCATGGGGCTGCCTTCTTTTTCTGGGTCTCACAAGTTTTCCACCTTTGACAGGGTGGAGTCTTACCACTTTTCTATCTCTCCTTTTAGTGAAAAGTTGAGTTTTCATTCTCCGATAGGTTTCTGCCTTACACAGGTTCCAGCTTTTACAGGTTTTTCTGTGCATGAGCTCTGAGAGCATGAGGAAGGGGCAGGTGTGGCCAGGGGAGACTTTGCTGGCTCCCAGAACAGGGGACATTTGAGCTGAGCTTGAAAAATGAGTAGAAGTTGGAAAGACAAGGGCACCCCTGGTAGCCAGCTGAGCATGAGCAAAGACATGGAAGAGTGAATACGTAGACTGCACCTGAGGGCTCTGGGCCTCTGTGTTGCTAGATAGTAGAATCATGGGATCAGGAAAGAGAAGTTACTAGAGGGCCAAAAGGCAGGTCAAGACCAGCTGGAGAGAGCCAAGGCACATAGGCTGAGGTGTGTGATCTTTGTCTTGTAGGCATCAGGAGCCCCAGAGAGGAAGAACTGGGCATGGTAGACAGTTCCTAAAGATGCACTGGGGAGGATGGAGGACAAGCTCAGATGTAGGAGCACTAATGAGCATTTTTATGGTAGTAAAACCCAGGTCGGGGGTAGGGGTTACCTGTGGTGCTTACCCCCTCTACTCTGGGAGACCCTAGAGGCATTTAGAGGTACAATTGGGAGGGCTCATAAAGTCACTGGATGTGGAGTAAGAGGAGATATCTTGGGTGATGTGGAGGCTTTGGTACCATTGACAGGCTACAGAAAGGATAACAAATGGATTTCGTGTCACATGCCAAGTCCAAAGGACTAATGGCTGCCCATAGCCTTATGTCGAGCACTGGTCCCAGGAGAAGTCAAGGCTCAGCCCGTACTGCAGTGATCAGGTAGCAAATCGTGCCATCACATTGGTTTGCAGGAGTAGTGGCACATATGCCACTTCTGGACCATCCTAAACAAGGGTCATAGTGTCCATTGGAGAAGTGATTGGTCTACACTTCACATGTTTCTCCTCTTGCTTGGGTAGGACTCACCCCACCAACCACACCCCCGTACAAGCCCACAGAGGAGGACCCCTTCAAGCCTGACATCAAGCACAGCCTGGGCAAAGACATAGCTCTCAGCCTCCCCTCCCCTGAAGGCCTCCAGCTCGAGGCCATCACAGGGGCTGCCCACAAGCTGCCAAAGAAGCACCCAGAGCGTAGTGAGCTCCTGTCCCACCTACGGCACACTGCAGCCCCACCGGCCTCCCAGGCTGGCCAGAAGCGCCCCTTCTCCTGTTCCTTTGGAGACCACGACTACTGCCAGGTGCTCAAGCCAGAGCGTGCCCTGCAGAGGAAGGTGCTGAGGTCCTGGGAGCCATCTGGGGTGCACCTTGAGGACTGGCCCCAGCAAAGTGCCCCACAGGCTGAAGCATTGGCTTGTGTCAGGGAGGGCAACAGGAGCTGTGATGCCACTGCCCCTGCCAAGGACAGTGTGCTGCTGAGAGACCATGAGATCCGCGCCAGCCTCACCAAGCACTTTGGGCTCCTGGAGAGTGCCCTGGAGGACGAAGATCTGGCCTCATGCAAGAGCCCCGAGTATGACACTGTATTTGAGGACAGCAGTAGCAGCAGTGGCGAGAGCAGCTTCCTCCTGGAGGAGGAGGAGGACGATGAGGACGACTCAGGGGCCAGCCCCCCTCGCTCTGACCACTGCCCCTACCAGAGCCCACCAAGCAAGGCCAGTCGGCAGCTCTGCTCCCGCAGCCGCTCCAGCTCCGGTTCCTCCTCCTGCCACTCCCGGTCACCAGCCACCCGGAGGACCTTCAGGTATGGATGAGTGGCTTCAGGAGGGATGTGGGGAGTGGAGGGCCCTGGTTCCTAGGGTGCCAGGGAAGGCAGGAGCCCTGTGATCCATGCTCTCAACCTGAGGCTGCATCTCCCTGTGTGACCCATGTCCTGGCCAGGTGACCTGAAGCCTTGTCTCATTCTTAAGGGAGTGGTGGACAAGTCCTGAAGGGTGGCTCAGCCTGGTTTGTGGCAGCCAGGAGCATCCCCAGTACCCTGGCCTCAAGAGAAATTAAACCCACTTCTGGGCATTTAGGCCTCATGTCTAAATGAGCTTACCCATCATTCACTTGTGCGTCTGCTTTTGCATTTGTGCAATGCATAGGCTTTGTGTAAACACACATCCCCATGCAGTTTAAAACCAATGTGACTTTTTCATGTAAAAGAAAGATTTGCATAATTCTAATCTGTATTCATAAGGAAAGAAAAAAAAACTGGATTTAAAGCAGTGGTAATGTCTATTCCCATTTCTCAGTCCTGCCAAGTTCCACTGTGACTTCTGGTAGGCAGCCACCCCTGAGTTGTTCAACCTCAGCATTGGAATGATATATCATGAGGCTCTTACCATCTTTGCTCGTTGAGCCAGATTGGAGAAAGAGCTGGTCCAAAAGTCCACTGGGGAGTTGGCAGAAAGAATGGAGCTTGGCATATTTGGTGGGGTGTGGTTGCTCCTCTAGGAGTTCTGGTGGTGCAGTGTGATTAAAGCATTCAGCTACTAACCAGAGGGTTGGTGGTTCAAACCCACCAGCTGTTCTTCTGGGAGAAAGATGAGATAGTATGTTTCCATAAAGATTTATAGCCTTGGAAACCCTATTCTTTCCTATAGGGTTGCTGTGTATGAGTCCCATTCAACTAAATGGCAGGGAGTTTGGTTTTTTGTTTGGTTGCTTCTCATTGGCATGATTCTTTCCAGGGGAGGCTTGAGGAAGGAATCTATGCCTGAAGTTTACCTGAGGGGACCACTAGATGGTGCTCTTGGGTCAAGAGCAGTGCAGTGGAAGGCCTTGAAGGGTCTGTTGAAACCGGTTGCTGGCTCTCCACTGTCTGATTCAGTAGGTCTGGGATGGGCCCAGAATTTTGCATTTCTAACAAGTACCCAAGCAATAATGATGTCCCCATAGTATCATATTCTCTGAGACCAGAATTCAGATGATATAAGATATCTTTTCTTAGAAAAAAGGCAGCTTTATATTTCTATTGCTGTATCAATAGCTTCTAACCGTTTCAAAATTCTATTAAAGCAAAAGCCCCTCTTTCCATTAAAATGTATACATACATCTGATTGGGAAGTCATTTCAGGAGGTTCATAGAGGCCCCCAGACACTTGTGTTAAGAAGCCCTGAACTGTCTGTTACTCAAAATAAGAGTTTCCAAGTGATGTCTCTAACAGGCCTTTTTCCTCGGCCAGGAGCCTTCAGTCAGGGTCTTCTTCTGTCAGATCTCCATGAGCCTCTCTTCTGGCCCCATTCTACTTTCCCCTGGGATAGCTCCTGCCTTGCAGCTGTCTGAGGTCAAGTGTTCTACTTCAGCCTTGCTTTGCTGTGACTAAGCTCCTCCGTCCCCATGTTAGGCTATTTCCTCTGTGGTGGTTACTTAGAGAACTACCAAGGCTCTCTTCATGATGACTTGAGTTCCCCTAGGCTGGAACTGTAGCCTCCCTGGCCTCCTTCCTTTCCTGGTCAGTACAGGGGTTTTGGGGCAGGGCAGGTATCATGGGCTTTCCTGAGAGGAGCTGGGGATTCTAGAAACCCCTAGCAGTCTCCTTTATCTCTTCTCACTTTGGGCCTAAGCTCAGGGCTGGCTTTTTCTGCTTACTGAGAGAGGCAGTTGGTTCCTGCTTAGTTGCCCAGCAGAGCTTGGTACCTTGTAACCTTGGTAAATTTAGTAATCAGATTTCTCCAGACCTACATTTCTTCTTTACCTGTGCATCAGCTACCAAACACAGATTGACAGGAAGTGTTTTTCAGCTGATTTAACAATGCAGACCCTGAATCCCATAATGCCTTCCATTTGCTCTAAGCTTTTCAGGTAGGGAAGGTCTCCCAATTCTATTATAGATGGGTGATATTATTATTTAGCACTATAAAGTCCACAAGTGACATCCCCTGTATTACCCTTTCTGAGCTTCCCAGATACACTTGGTGGGCACATCTGTTTCTTATCCCTATTTTATAGAAGAGGAAGCTGAGGCTCAGAGATGTCAAATAGAAAAATACAGCAAACATGTTGAACTGTGCCTGTGCTAAGCATGTATACATGCATTTTCTGATTGAATCTTCACAAATGGCCCAGGAGATGGGTACGATCGATGACCCCTTTTTTATAGAAGAAGAACTGAAGTTGAGAAAGGTTATGTCATTGGCTGAAGGTCACCCAGCTAGGAGGTAGAACCAGGACTCAAACCCAGGCAGTCTGACTCAGAGCCCCTATTCTTTTCCTCTGGGCTGTGTTTCCCAAGAGCACATGCATAGTATGCAGCAGAGCCAGGACTGGTCCCCACTGTACACCCAGAACTCCCTCCACTCTACAGACTGTCCCTGTGGAGAAGCCAGAGCAGCATAGGCAGTCAAGGAAGGCTGCCAGCGGGTGGTACCAGGGGCCTTCTTGGCCTCCAGGGCTTGATTAAGCCTGGTAGCTCCACTAGGTCCAGAGAGCTATGGTGGGTAAGGGGTTCTTGGCCAAGGACCAGCCAGTGGAGGCAGTTGGCCTAGAACAAGAAGACCTGCTTCCAGCTCTGGCTTCCACACTTTCTAGCTTCAGTCAAATCCCACATTGAACCTGAACTTCAGGTACCTCATCTGGAAAAACAGGGAAACACAAAGACCATACAGGGCTTTTTCAGTAGGTCAAATAAGATAATGGTGGTTAAGGGGCTCTTTCTATCCCTCATGGCATAGAAAGACAAGGTTCTCAGGTTATAATTAGTAGTACAGGCTCTGGCAATCCAGTTCTGGAAGCTGGTGGAAAGAAACCAGAGAGGTGCAGGTTTGAGTGTTCAAACCCCACCTCGCCCTGGCTGTCACTGTCGAAAGGGGAAACTGAGTTTCTACAGGAGAGAGTTTCAGCTTTTCTGTCCTCATGAGTGAGCCCCACAGAAGCATTCCCTGCCTCGCAGAGCTACTCTGACCCCTACCCCGCCACTGCGGTCTCCTCCCGAGAGTGAGTACCTCTGCTTTGCTTGTTCACTGACAGATGTGAGAGCAGAGGGCCGTGTTCAGACGGAACGCCAAGCGTCCGGCATGCCAGGAAGCGGCGGGAAAAGGCCATTGTAAGTGATGTGGGGACCTGGAGTCCACAGTGACTGGGGATGAGCAGGGTGTCAGGAGGTCCAGGGGCTTTGTGGGCCCGAAGCTCCTTTGAGGCTGGCCAGTGAGCCTCTCCTCACCTTCAGCCCCCACTGGGGAAGGAAGGCCATGGCCTGCAGAACACAGTTCTATTTATATGACAAGGATCACCAGAGGGCATCAAAGGGTGGTGCCATACCAAGTGCAACCATGAGACTGGCCATGAAGCATGTCATTGCTGGTGACTTAGGGCTCAGTTGCAAGGGCCTTGATGAGGCCAAGGAGGCAGGCTGTGCAGGGGAGCAGAGCCAGGCCAATCAGCCCTGCCACCAGCTTCTCTGCTGTGACCTTTGACAGGTCTCCTACCATCCCTAAGCCTCAATTTACTCTTCTGTACATAAGGGAGTTGGGCTTTGTGCTTTGTGCTTTCTAGGGGTTCCCCCAGCCCTATCAGGACTAAAGGAACAAAAGATCCTGCCCCTTCCTTCCCACCCGCCTTCCCAACTCCCTCCCAGCATTAGTCCACAGACCTTGGCCTTGAGGGCTTGCCTGGTGAACCTATCGGAGGCAGAGCCCCCTCCGAGAAAATACATCAGGGCACTGCAATAGGGAGACACAGCCAGCCCGTCTGGGTCACTAAAGAAGAGGGAAGGGAAAGAAGACTGAAGCACAAAGAGACAGAGTCCCACTAATATTCCCCCCATAATGTGCATGAGACATGCGCACCTCCAGAGATAAACAACTGTGAGCAGACAGGTAGTCAAAACCACAAGCTGTGCAGAGAGCATCTTCTGAGAGCCCATGTTGGATCACTCAGCTTTTAATATATTCCTGGCACTGTTCTAGGCCTGGGTGGACAGACAGCACCCTCACTCCTGTGGTTGATACAGAAAGGAGAGAAAGACATAAACTCATACAGGAGTAAACAGTGTAATTACAGATTGGGGTATTTGCTCTGCAAGTGATGCCATGACTAAAATAAGCAGTTGTGTTTTGACAGGAACATGTTACCTGGGTGGCAGAGGAAGGCTTAGGTGAAAGGAGCCGACCAAGCAAAGACTCAAAGGGAAGAATGTTTGGGGCCGAGGCAGGAGGAAGCTTTATGAATTCGAGGGACTGCAAGGAAGCCAGTTGAGAGGGGGTGGATTTTTGTTTTGAGATGAACCTAGGCATACTGGTATGAAGCACACAGTTCATGTGACTGTTGACAGCAGAGCCCTGATTGAGGACCCTGGGTGGGCCTGTGCTTTCTTCCTTGCCATCTGTGGTATAGGGTGGAATAACTGGAGAATCAATGGCTATAACCTGTTCCTAAAGAAAGCCCATCCCAACTTAACTGTTGGCTTTGCCCACAGGAGCACAGGTTTCTAGGAACAAGGCTGAAGATAATCCAGCAGGTCAGAGTGATGCTTCCAACAGCCATGGCTTTAGCTGGACCAAGTTTAGGGGGGTCAGTTTCAGCCTAGGCTCCCTGCCACCCCCAGCCAGGCTGTTCTAAGGATTTGTGACATAGCACCAAACTTACCCGGAGGGGACCTCTTGTAGCATAGTGCCTAAGGCATTTGACTGCTGACCAGAAGGCTAGTGGTTCAAACCCACCAGCCACTCCTCAGAAGGAAAATTGGGCAATCTAATTCCATAGAGATACCGCCTCGGAAACCCAAGGAGTGGTTGCTATGAATCAGAAACAACTCGACAGCAGTGGGTTTACGCTGTGGCTGTGGAGCTCTGGTAGCACAGTGCCTAAGGCATCTGACTGTTAACCAGACACTCCATGGAAGCAAGGCTAGGCAATCTACTTCTATAAAGATTTTCCACCTCGGAAACCCAATGGGGGTCACTATGAGTTGGAATTGACTCGATGGCAGTGGTTTTGTTTTGTTCTGTTTTGTTTGTTGTTATACTGTGGCTTCAGGCACTTGGCACTGCCGAAACCAAAGACAGTGGGAGCATGGGTAACTCCAGTCACCCTAATGCCTCCTGTTCCATTGCCTTTCCTTCCAATGACCAGGACTCCAGCAAATGGCAGGGCTCCCAATTCTTGCCCCATTACCATCCTCAGCTCCTCACAGTTCTACCCCAACACCTTGCCCGTTACCAAAAATAAAAAAGTCTTAGACTCAAAACATAAATGTAGAAGCTACTGAATGTGCCATTATATCAATGGTGATAAGCTGTCTCCTTCCTCAGCTCCATCTCTGCTTATCTTCTGCCAATTCCTGCAAGGAAGCACTGCCTTCCTTTGGGGGCCACTTTCCTGTATGACACTCTTCAGTCCCCTCCTCCATCAGGGCAGGTCCTTTGTTACAGGGATCATCACTGTCTTTTCTCTGACTCTAGCCCTAGCTGGCGTCCCTTACTCAGCCAGGTGTCATAACTGGGGATGAGGATACCAGGGGAGCCCACCACCAAGGGGGCCCCAGGTCACCAGACGATGACTGGGCCCCTCTGTGTCTTCCCTTCCTGAGCAGGATGAAGGCCGGGTGGTATACGTTCGAAATCTCTCCAGTGACATGAGCTCCCGGGAGCTGAAGAGGCGCTTCGAGGTGTTTGGCGAGATTGTAGAGTGCCAGGTGCTCACGAGAAGTAAAAGGTGAGTCCAGTTAAGTCTTCCTGGGTGGGTGGGAGAAATGATGATATTCGAGAATATATGTGGAGCAAATTTCAGTAAATGCACAGCTTAGTTCTGGAGAGCTGGCCCTGGAGAGGACCCTAGTCATAGCAGCAAACATGTTCTGATTGTTTATGGAGTATGTCTTAGCTTCCTAGTGCTGCTGTAATAGAAATACCACAGTGGATGGATTTGAAGAACAGAAAAGTATTTCCTCACAGTTCAGAAGGTCTGAAGTCTGAATTCAAGGCACCAGCTCTGGGGAAAGACCCTTTCCTTTGGGCATGCTCCCTTTCTTGTCGATGGATCGTCACATGGCGTCTGTCTTTTTGCAGTTGGGCTTATTTCTGTGTCTGTGCTTCTGCTTATAATTCAGAAGTGATCAGGTTTAGGACACACCCTACATTGATGGGGCCTCATTAACATAACAGAGAACCCCCCCAGTCCCGAATGAGAACACAGTCACAGTTATCTGGGTAACAATTCTAACACATATTTGTGGGGGCGGGGAGAGGGGAAGGATGACACAATTCAGCCCATAACAGAATGCCAGGTTATGTCCATGAGTTCTTCTATTTAACTTTCCAACACACTGTGACATACCTACTTATTCTTTCTACTGCTTTCCTTTTAGGGGAACTCAGCAAATTTAATTAAGCAGCTTGTTAGTGGCTGAGCCAGAACTAGAGGCCATGTGCTTGCTTTGGAAATAGTATGTGTGTGTGCGGTGGTGGTGGTGGTGGTGTGTGTGTGTGGAGGGGGATGAGGGATGGAAGGGGCAAGGGGGATGGGCACACACCTGTGGCTGGCTTGAAGCACACTTGCATTGGGACCTCACTGCACTTCAAGCTCCACGCTGTCCACATCCCTCTGTTACTTTTCAGTGCAAGTCCTAGGTCTCCTGTTCTGTCAGGCAGCCCTGTTCTTTCTTAATCACCAGGGAAAGCAGGGCCTCGCCTGTTGGGGGATATGGAAACAGAAAGGGCTGCATATAAACGCACAATATAGATGTCAAAACTTTGCAGTTTAAAAATATTTCTACATTATTTCCCATTATACTTACAAATTAAGTTATTACCATTTTAAAATTTGAATTTAATATTTAAAAAGCATTAGTGAGAAAATAGTTTTATGCATAAGAGTCATCGTACAAATTGAACTTGTTCTGAGTTCTGTGTAGTCTTCAGAATATCAGATGGAGATCACATAGAAAACAAGGAATCACAGTTCTGAGTCTCAGTTTATGGTGATAGGAAAATCGCTTTAAGGATAGGGTTGCACAGCTGATCAATGTGCTTTCTGCCAATAACTTGCACACTTATAAAAAGTTGAATTGGCAAAAATAATGAAAAAGAGCAGCTCTTGAAGCTGCTTATGTACAACCAAACACCTCATGGGATCTGTTTTCTTGGGTTGGAGGTTTAGGGTCATAGTTTCATGGGACATCCCAAGTAATTGGCCTGATACCATGTTTAGTGCTTCTGTTCTGTCTCCTAGTTCATTGCCTAGTGCCTGAGTCTTAAAAGCTTATAAGCAGATGTCTGAGATATAACAATTGATCTCTATTCTCCTGGAGCAACAGAGGAAGGAGAGTCAGGAGTAGGAGGAAGAAATGGAATGTGGCCTAATTGCCTCCATAAACAAAGCCTCCTTTGTCAGGAGACCAGAAGAGCTGGATGTATTATTACTTGTTTTGATCAAAGATTCTGTGGAAGAATCCTGATCCAAAGGAGGGAAAATATGGGACAGAATTTAAATTCTCATAGAATGCAGACAGTTTGGAGCCATGGAGGCCAGATGAACCCTCGAAATTATTGCCACAAAATAATCTAAACTTTAAAAGTATCCCCTGAAGTCTTCTTAAAACCATAGTTTAGCTTAACTAGTAAAGATGATCTGCCTTGAGCACTGCACTCTTTTAAGATCTGTCTATCTATATAGCATCAAATTGACAACAACAGCTTGAAAGATTAGATAGGAAGCTTCGGGGGCAGTGAGTTTATGCTAAGGGAGAGGAGGAACAGAAAAGGAAAGGGAGAATGGCTGCGTAACTTGAAGAATGTAATCCATGTACAATGAAATGTACATGTAGAAACTGTTGAATTGGTATATATTCTGGTATATATATTCTCAATGACAACAACAAAAATAAAATGAATTATTTACAAAAACAACAGCAACAACAAAAGGAGCAAATTAATCTCTAAAAGAGAGTGGTCAATTGATGAAGATTCGAAAAGTATACAAGATCTTAAAAAAGAGATAGACTTGGGCACATTACCAGTGTTAGACATTTAAAAAGGCAGAAGGATTCCAGCTTTTCCCTGGCTCAATGTCAGGAAATGTGACTCTGCTGAACGTTTATTGGAACATTAATTATAAACCTGTCCAGAGCAGAGGGGAATGCCACGTTGTCTCTGCCCTTGAGGAGTTCATAGATTAGCAGGCATACCTATCAGTCAGGATTCCTTCTCTTGTAGTTCATGGAATTATCTTTAGACTCCAGTATGCTCTCCATTGCTCCCTCTGCCTTGGTATCATTCTCAGACAAACTCTTGTGGTGGCAAAATGGCTGCTTCTTGCTAAGCCTGCCACCTACTAGCTTAGAGACCCTAGGGGAAACAGGAGTCTCTCTCCCGGTTCCAGTGAAGACCCAGAGTGGATTCATTTGGGTTCACTTTGGGCGATAGACTCATTTGAACAAATCACTATGGCCAGGGAGGGCCACAAACCCATGACTTTTCCCTGGCCCTTTGAGCTACGTTGACCACACAGGGCTTTTCTATTATAACAGATGTCTCCCATGAAGGGTAAGATTTGTACAAACTGCCAGTGATATTAGGTAAGGTGAAGCCAAGTTAGCAGCCAAGAAACTGTGAGGCCAGCTTTGAAGGATGCACAGAATTTCAACAAGGGAGTAGTCGGAGCAGGGAGTTGTTGTTTGCCATTGATTTGGACCTGACTCATAGCGAGCCTTCCTTGGGTTTCCAAGGCAGTATCGTAAGTAGATTGCCTCATCTTCCTTCCGAGGAGTGGCTGGTGGGTTTGAACCGCCAGCCTTCTGGTTAGCAGTCAAGTGCCTTAGGCACTATGCTACCAGAGCTCCTGAGCATGGAGTAGGTGCAACAAATCTAAGAAAGCAGGAATAATGAAGGAAACAAAGGGAAGTAAGTGTTCAGAACATTGGCTTAATGTAAGGGAGGTCTGGGTTTGAATCACTATGTATGCTACTACTTGTCTTTGGGCCAATTTCCAAACTCCCTAGAGCCTATTTCCTCCTCTGTGAGGTGGAGGTAATTAAAATACAGGGTCATCTGAAGGTGGCAAGAGGCCATGTATGGTGGCTGACACCTGGCAAACTTTCAGTAGTTCAGCTGCTCTTATTACGTTGCAGGAGTGAGTGTAGCTATTGTTACCATCTCTCTTTGAGGGATCTGGTTACTGTATCATCGCACCTTTCTGCTCCTCATCTAGCCAGCCTGGTGACTTGCTCCCCTGTCCTCTCCCCGCAGAGGTGAGAAGTACGGCTTCATCACCTACCGATGTTCCGAGCATGCTGCCCTCTCTGTGAGAAATGGCGCTGCCCTGAGGAAGCGCAATGAGCCCTCCTTCCAGCTGAGCTATGGAGGGCTCCGGCACTTCTGCTGGCCCAGATACACTGACTACGGTAAGCACACGAGGCCATCACTACAGAAGTAGATTGCCCAGTCTTCATTCCAAGGAATGTCTGGTGGGTTTGAAACACCAGGCTTCTGGTTAGCAGTCAAATGCCTTAGGCACTACGCCAGCCTGAACATGAGGGGTAGTAAATTCCTCTCATGAAGCCCAGACTTCAAGCTCTTTCTGGACATAGCTTTCACACCCAGACCCAAAGTACTGAGTGATATGACTTTGCGGCTACTTTGCCTGGAGGGTAGGTACCGTCTTGTTTTTCTTCTGGTCTCTAGTTCATCTTCTCTTATCCCAGGGTTGGTACTAAAGAGAGAGATTCATGCTTCCCATGGACTCTTGGAAGATCCAGTCTTGTATTCCCACCAGTTAAGACAACCATGGCCACCTTATCTTTGACCAGCAGCTACCCTACCTCCTTGAGAGGGCATTTTATGGTGACCCGCCCCTCATAGCAGTAGCCTTGTCCATTAATGGACCACACTGAAACAATGCTGTCACCATGTTCTTGTATTTGTGGACAAGTTGGTGAAGAAGGACAAAGAAGTAAAATTTAGGGAGGAATTTTTTGAGCGCGTGGCAGACAGAAACTGGTGCAGCCTCCATTATACAGGGCTGGGTGTCAGGAGACCTGGGTGGGCTCCAGGTCAGGAATTGTGCCACCTGCTGGATGTCCATTTATGAGACTCAGTTTCTTTTTGTATACAATGAGGGCATTCTAGTTTTTTTGGCTTTCATTTTGTGACTTCTACAGTAGAACTAATGGGTAAGAATCCTGGGGAAGTATGATTATAGGGTGTCAGAGCTGGAAAGGAGCTCTGAGGTGCCTTAGTTCAGGCCCCCTTCACTCTTCAATTGGGGCAGCTGAGGTCCTGAGACACTGAGACCACATAGCACTCATCCCTATTCTCTGAGGCCGTGAGTATATCCCTTCCATGGGCTGACTCTGTGGCAGATATTTTGGTTTTCTGACTTTTCTCAGTTGCTCACTGCCTTCTCCTCTCAATGGCTCCTCAACACCCACCCCCCACACCTCCAGATTCCAATTCAGAAGAGGCCCTTCCCACGACAGTGAAAAACAAGTATGAAGCCATGGATTTTGACAGCTTACTGAAGGAGGCCCAGCAGAGCCTGCATTGATAACAGCCTTAACCTTCGAGGAATACCTCAATACCTCAGACAAGGCCCTTCCAATATGTTTACGTTTTCAAGGAAATTAAGTATATGAGAAGGAGAGAGAGCGAGCGTGCAAGAGAACACACGTGAGAGACTTGAAACTGCTGTCCCTTTAAAAAAAAAAATCAATGTTTACATTGAACAAAGCTGCTTCTGTCTGTGAGTTTCCATGGTGTTGACGTTCCACTGCCACATTAGTGTCCTCGCTTCCGATGGGTTGTCCTGGGTGCCCCTCTAAGTGCTGGGTCAGTCACCCATTTCCCCTACCTTCCCCTCGTAGACTTGCAGCTGTGTTCACCATAACATTTCTTGTCTGTAGTGTGTGATGATGAAATTGTTACTTGTGAATAGAATCAGGATTATAAACTCATTTTTAATTGAAGAAAAAAAAAAGTATATCCTTAAAATAATGTATTTATGGCTCAGATGTCTGTGCCTGGGATTATTGTATTGCTTCCTTGATTTCTTAACTATGCACTGTCATGAGGTGTTTGCCACTGAGCTGCTCTGCTCCCCTTGTCAGACTGCCCTAGAGATGTAGGCTGGTCCCCAGGGCAAACGCAGCCCTTAGGAGCAGTGGAGAGAGCTTTCCCAGCCTTTCCCACTAAACCCATGCCAAGCCCTGCCCTGTCTGTCGGTGAGCAAGTTCAGGTCAAATTACAATCAGACTTGCCATCTTGTGCCCAGCTCACATTTACAGAGTGCGATCTTACCCATTGGCAATACAGACCCTCCTGTACCTTCTAAGGAAGGCAGGGTGAGCTGTGTTATTCTGGTTTTCCAGGTGAGGAAGACAGTGCACCAAGAGGTGAAGTGACTTACCCAAGGTCCCACAGCCAGGGAGAAGGTGGAACACTGACCCAGGCCAAGTCTCTTGACTCCTGGTGCTGTGCTTCTGCCATACTGGGGTAAAGATGCAAAGTTTCAGGGACAAATAGAGGTGAGTTTAGCTAAATTGGGCAACAGACTAAAAGCCTAAGGGCTCATTTTGGGGATTTAAGTCAACCCTAACCTCAAGAGAGTTCAAACTCTGGTGCGTGTCCTGGGCTTACCATCAGCTTTAATCCTGAGTCATCTTGTGCCCATCAACACTCCATCAAAACCTCCATGACACCCTGGCAGTGGTACAGTCTGGGAGCACCTGTCCTCTTTTGGTCAGTCAACCCACTCATCCATTATATTGCCCTTTCCTCATTTGTAAAACTGTTTAGGGGAAGATGGGCAGACAAGGGAAGCCAGCATGTGAGAGTTGGGGGTGAAAAAATAATCTCTAAGTTCCCTTCTTACTTAAGAGAGCCTTCTAATAGGGCTTTGCTTTAAACTTTGCGTTTGTGAGTTACACATGTCAAAGCCATGTCCAGGTTGGATGTTTTACAGGTGCCTTGGGGGATGTTCATGAAGGAGAGCACGGCCAGGCAGGGTATGACGAGCACATTGTTCCTACTTCAGACAGAGCAGCTCCTCCTCCATCTCTCTCATACATCATTCCTTGGGCTGTGTTTGTATTAAAACAGAAAAGGAAAAAGAAAAAGGTCCTGCTGCTTGAGAAAAGTTTGTAAGTGACTCGTTACTCGTTAAACTGAACAAGCTAATTTAATCTGTTGCTAATGCCAGACCTAATCCTTTAGGAAATATTTTTTGTTTGTTTGTTTAAGATTATCAAATACCTCAGTGGGTGAGCTAGTCTGATGATCTTGTCCAGGATGGCGAACCTACTTCAAGTCCACATAAAGAGCTTTAGAAGGATAGGGAATTTGAATCTTGTTTGTTAAATCACTTGACCTCTTGGGGCCTCAGTATCCTTTTCTGTGAAATGAATTGAGGGGGAAATTAGGCAGCTTGATTTCTAAGGTCCCTGCCTATCAGCTTTGGGAGTCTTAGCTTCTTCTACTAAGACACTATCTGGTTCAAGATGTCAAATACAATGGCACATGTGCCAGTACTTCCACATCTTGGCCAATGGCAGACATAACTAAATGATTACAGCACTCATGTTCTTTGAGTCTGGGCACATTAGAATCCTTAACACAGTGCTCTGGGAGGCCATTACTAATAGATCAGAGTTTAACCTGTTCAACATTCTGTTCTAATTTTTGAAAGGTTTCTACCACACAGAACCATATTCTGGCTGGGTTTCAGCAGTCCATAAGTCTAATTCATCCTTGTCTTCCATGTCCTGATCTATGAAAATTCCCCTAAGGCTATTCCTTGCACAGGAGTCCCAATACCACTCACATAAACCCCTCACAGAGGGGGGATGAAGGGGAAGAGAAGCAGCAGACATGGACATGGGGTGGGCAGGGCTTGTGAGGATGGTCCAAAAGGGGACCACAATACAGACATAAATATTCTTTTATACCTATTTATTGCCTCTTACACCTATTCACACAGTAGGAACACAATAAATGGTTATGAAATGGTATGGAAAAACCATAAATCCTTCTACTGCCTCCTGTAGGTACTGATTTGCAGCAAAGAGTAAATTGAGATGTAACTCCATGGAAGCTATCAGCAAAAGGCACTAAATTCAGAGTCCAGAGAGCTGCATTAAATCCCAATTCCACCAAAAACTTAACTTTGTGACCTTTGATAAGTCCCTTCCCCTCTCTGAACCCTGAGTGTGCTAGAAGGAGTTGGACTAGGTGATCACTAAGCGCCTCCTGTTTGCTTCTTCCTTGATTGCACTAGGCTAGGGGTTCTACATGGGCTGCTACTTTAAAGTAAAGAAATGATGATCGTTGATAAAGGCCAAGTCTCTCCTTCCCCTTCTGAGTCAGCTGAAGCTTCACTTTAACTTCAGATTAACACAGAGCACTCTAAGTTACTTAGACATTGACCCTTAAGCAAAGCAGAAGATCTAAGTGTGGCATTGGGACATGATGGGCGGCTGCAGCTGCTGATGGGAGAAGATGCCACTAAGGGCATTACATAGTTTCTGCTCACCATCCCATACGTAAAAGGTTGCAAGTTCTCAAATTGACCAACCCTGCAGACAGCCTCAATTCGGAAGACTCATTCGGTGCTGTGTATTATTTAGCAAGGAGACTCCAAGGTCTCCCAAGGAAAACCAGTCAACCTTGGACTTGTTCCCACCAAATTAAGGAGCAACCCAGAGGGAGCAGCTGCCTTTGGCAACCATCTCATTGTAGCTCTGTCCTAGTATTTGCTCTCAATGATGTTTACATGTGATTGCCATAAAAGCTTACTGTAGACCTTGTTGATAGCCGCCCACGCTGGGCAGGTCGTACTGTCCATCTCTGTGCCGTGCTGGTGTTTTCCAAAAATGTCTAATCCAACCGCCAAGTGGAATTCTTCCATCTCCTTCCTCAGTCAATACAAGGCTGAATCAGAATCCTCATTCTTGGGGGCTCTGGTTACCGAAGGAAAATGCATCAAAGAGGTAAAGAATATGAATGGATGGAGTGTAGCTAAGGCCCCCATGCCCCTTACCCCATCACGCCATACCCCCCAGCCAGAAATCCCGCTTCTTGCAAGTCTGAATCACCTTGAAATCTCTCAGCATTATACGTCATAGGGCTCAGGAGAAATGCAGGGCTTCAGGATAGGGAATGCTCTGAGCTGCAAAGACTCAGGACTCAAGTCCTGACATGGGAAAAGACGCAATAAGAAGTCTTGGATTGCCTAAAGCCTGTACTTTTTGATTTTTGAGAGTGATTTCTCCTGGACTTATGCAATGTGCATGCGGAGAAAGCTGTGCAGGTGGTGGGTGAAAAGGGCAGGGAAGGGCATCAGCAGCCAGGGTCCATGGCCCAACCCAGGCCTCAAAGTCGGTTGAAATCCCAGCTGAGCTTGCAGCCTCAGAGGCGGGTCATCCCAGTTGTGAAACAGAATCAGCCCTAGAGGATTTGTTGATTCACTGAGGTCAAAGTTGCAGTGTTTTATTTCTTCACACCTGAGATTTAGTAGCTGCACTCACTTTGGAGAAACCTATTCCCCAGCATCACATATGACCAAAGAAAGAAATTGGGTGGATGTACAGTAGCAAATAAAGTGAACCTGCATGATGCAGATGGTTAATGCACTCGCCTGCTAACCTCAAGGTTGAGGTTCAAGTCCACCCTGATGTGGCTAAGAAGAAAGGCCTGACAATCTACTTCGGAAAAATCAGCCATTGCAAACCCGATGGAGCACAGTTCTACTCTGGCACACACGGGGTCGCCGTGAGTTGGGGGTCGACTCAAGGTCAACTGGTTTTTAATGGTTTCCTTGGTCACAGAAGAGGCACCCCTTGACCCCTTCCCACCTGGGCAGAGGGAATGGATTAGTATTTAAGTGCAATATATTAAAGCTGGTTCCCATGTCCCCAAGGCATTTGCACACAAATGGGCTCCAGGGCAGTTTGCTGATTCCGGAGGTACAGGGTAAATGTAGGGAGAGTGTGGGAGCAGGAGACACTCTCACACAGAAATGCCCTCAGCCCAACAGACAATGAGTCAGGGACTTGCTGCAGGACACCCAGGAAGTAGACAGTGGTAGACTTTGCATTGAACCAATAAAAGCACTTTGAGAAATACACACCACCTCAGCCTGGCTCCGAGTCTCTACACACCACCTCAGCCTGGCTCCGAGTCTCTACACTGGCAAATACAGGTCTCCTTTGGCTGTGTGAGGTTCAATCCCAGAGACTGGGAGAGGAGGCCCGGCAAGGGAGTAGTGTGAGGGAGGGGGACGCACAGATGCGTTCCAAGATGGCTGCCGCAGGAAAGCTGATCCCAGAGCCAGCCTCCTGCTGGCCTCTTTGTTGAGGGCTTTAGAAGCAGGGTTTAGATCTTGGTACGTACTTTTATTTTAAAAAATAAAAAGAGCCCAGCCAAATAGATTGGGTTCATAGAGCAAGTCATTTAACTATAAGCCATCTCAGAGTGAGAAACCCCAATGCAAAGGGACTTATTTCTTATTTGCTGTGTGACCTTGGACCTCTGCTTGCTCATCTAGCAAATTAG